TATCTATCTGTACGTAGTTGTGCCCCGCCTTCGACAGGGATCTTGATGCAAACGCTATCGGTCGCTCTGTGCCGTCTGCCATGACATGGGACAGTACCGCTCCAATTCCTACAGGTGAAGCATCACAAGCCAGTTGTAAGGGAAGGTTAGGATCATAATGTGTAATCACCAGATCTGAAACAATTATTGCTTTAACTTTGCAACAGGCTTCTTCGCATTAATCTGTCCAGTTCCATTGGTAGTTACTTTACAGCATTTGGTTCAATGGAGGCAGGATTGTAGCAAGGTTTGGCAGGATTTGTGGTAATAATTCACAAATCCCAGGAAGGAGTGTACCTCTGCAACACTCTGGGGGCGAGGGGCATTCACCATTGCAGCTGTCTTGTCGGTGATCTTGTACAGGCCTTCGCTATTAATGTCGTGGCCACAGAACGTGATCTTTTCTTTGAAGAACTCACACTTCGATTTATTGGCTCTTAACCGATGGTGGTGCAGCCGTCGAAGGACCTCCTCCAGGTTAGCCATATGCTCTGCGTCGCTTTTACCCGTCACAATCATATAGTCTAGGATACAACTAATACAAGAAGTTCCTTCCAGAATCTGATCCATGGTACGCTGCTAAATGGCGGGAGCCGAGGTAATACCAAACACCAATCGATCGTATTGAAACAAGCCCATGGACGTATTAATTGTAAGGTACTTCTTGGATTCTTCCTCCAGCTCAATCTAATGGTAAGCTTAGCGGAGGTCGATCTTGGAAAACTTTTTCCCACCAGCTAAATGGGCAAAGATATCTTCGATTCGAGGCAGAGGATACTGTTCTGCTTGTAATGTTGGGTTAATAGTACCTTTGAAGTCACCACAAATACGGACTGAACCATCTTGTTTCGGAACTGGTACAATCGGTGTCGCCCAATCACTCCACTATACTTTCGACAAAATACCTTCGCTCTGAAGTCTCTTCAGTTCTTCCTCCACTTTCGGTCGCAAGGAATATAGGACCTGACGAGCTTTGCGAAACTGTGGTTGACTACCTTCTTTGAGGGTTATCCTTGCTTTGGCAGATTTGAAAGTTCCCAGCTTGTCTTCAAAAACCTCTGCATACGTATCCAATAGGTTTTCAGCTTCTCTCGTGTAGTCGTGCCAGGGTTTCTATGGCTGGGATCTGAGGATTTCAACAACTTAATGGTTTTCCAGTTGAGGCGAAGCTTGTGAAGCCAATCTCGACCCATTAACAGTGGACCCTTAGACTGGACTACATGGAATGGCAATAGACATGAATGATCTAAGTATTCAACTTGCATGGTAAGGCAACCAACTGGAACGATCAGTTCACCAGTATAGGTCTTTAGTACAGTGGTTGTTTTCTCTAACTTCTTGTCGCGAAATCTTTTCAAGAACATGTCATACGGCAAAATGGACACGGCCGATCCTGTGTCTAGTTCCATGGATAGTGGTTGACTTTCAACTTTCACGTCAACCCATATGACATCACTGTTTGATTTGTTTACATTATGAACTTCTAGGTTATTCAACAAGTGTCCATACTCATCTGCTTCGGTCTCTATGGCATTGGTTGATTTCTGGTATCTTAATCTGGGCGAGGGTCTAACGGGCCCCTGGCTTTGTCGTACCTGGCAAGCTCTTTGAATATGACCTCTCTTTCCACACTTGTGACAGACTTCTTTCTTAAATCTACACTCATTTGCAACATGGGAATTAGCTCCACATCGATAACACACTACAGTGGAAGGTGGGCCACTATCTGATCTATTCGAGGGTCTGTTCAGTGTCAGTTTGTCTGTCAAGACCAAGAGGTTTTTCATCTCTACCCTCGCTGTGGATCTCTGTAGCATCTCGAGTGGCTGTTTCCATAGCAACTGCTATGTCAACAACTTTGGAGAATTTTAATTTCGACTCTGCAAGGAGACATTTCTGAATTTTCTGATTACTTCTCATACATCATTAGATATTCATAGCATTTCGGCCAATGACATGGTTTAATTTACATCACGTGTATCTATCTGGATACCCCGTCTAGACCAGGACTTTAATTACTTCAAGTGGGAAGGGCTTTGAACAATAGGGAAATTGAGGCGTAAACAAAAGATTATGCAAATATATTTAATTGCTATGTTTAGAGTTATTTCTAAATACAGTAAGTTGTATTTAGAAATTTATTCTAACTACACTTTATAGCTAACACTTTTCCTAAACGTTTGAAAACTACATAAATATAGGAAAACCAACTTTTTTACCAACTATCATAATAAACAGCGCTTTAAACACTATAATACAGCAACTTACCAGTAATGTTTACCGTCTATAAAATATATATTCACTTCGGCTCTTTCATTTTCCACCAGATAGCGCCTTATCGCACACACAATCTGATATATCGTTTTTCGGATCCCCAACCTTGTCAGCCGAGCGACAATACTGTGCACAATGCTGTGCTCAACACTTTCTGGTTCTCGAAACCGCTTTTTCTTTTATTATAAGAAGATACCATGCTCTTTTGCCAACAAAATTCATCTATTCACGACGAAAGCGAACTGAATGCTTCGTTGCACTTCATGCAAACTTTCAAGCGAATGTAATCGTTAAATGCCCACGCTCACTTTTTTGAATATCTAATAATTTCATGCCTCATTGCTATGAAAGTCTAATGATGTGTGAGAAGCAATTTCAAATTCTCGTTAGTGTTTTAAAATTGGCTTCCAAATCCCCAGTGCCATTAACAATGGCTCAGCTGCGCCTCGCCATTGTTCATGGCACTTGTATTTAGAAACCACGTCTAAAACACTAACTCAGATTTGAAATATTACTTAATCCACACACCAATCTGTCGCGCAAGGTTTCTTCCAAGTTACTTCCAAATTTGCGATGTGTGGTTAATTTCTTTAACTCGGCTATATAACTTAAAATGCTCTCCCCTTCTTTCTGATTTCTCTTATAAAAACGAAACCGTTCGGCTATTTCTAGTGGTTTAGGATTTAAATGCTTCTGTAATGTACTTACTATTTCATCATAGTTCTTGTCTGCAGGCTTTTCTGGCAAAAGTAAATCCTTTAATAATGAATACGTTTTGCTTCCAATCAAACTCAGCAGAGTTGGCACTTGATGATTGTCGTCGACATCGTTTGCAGCGAAAAAATGTTGTACTCGTTCGATATACGTCTCCCAGCTTTCTTGGGTTTCATCAAAAACATCAATTTTTCCAATCGTCGTCATTTCTGGACTTATAACAATCCCAAATTCGTCGCCACTGTCGTGTATTTAGATTATACTTTTAACAAAATATGAATAATACATAAGCATGGCCGATCAAGAGACCACGCCAGAAATATTTGTTTAAACTTATACTAACCTTTTAATTACATGTAAATGTTTTCAATTTTCATCGGGCGCCATTTTGAATGTTGAAAGTGGTATATATTATTAGCTTATCGCAGGCGCAATAATTTATGTTCATCTTTGACATTAATTTATGTTGCACGATGATACTCCGAAGGGCGACCGAGAAAGATCCGAAATTTAAAATACGGCGGAGAAATAATAAAAAATAAAGAGGGGAGTGAAACGGCAGAACACGTGATTGGGTATTGGCCAATGACAATGCGTATATCCAATTCGTTATCTGGCCATGCTCTTTGACCAAGAACTGTCGAATCTGAAATATATCAGAACTTGAATCGGCATCCTTGCTCGCCAGCAGTGAATTTTCGACAGCAGAGAAACAAGAACATTTGCGAATGCTGGACACAAAATACAGTATTAATAATTCATGAAGGAAATTCAAAAGAAATGAATGTTTAATCAATGTATGTAAATCGATCGAATAAAAGATTTGTAAATTGTCCTCATTTACATAAACTTCAGCTTCGATTTTCTCTGCTTAGACAATGTTTATTTTTAAAATTACTTCGCCAATGAACTCATATGATGGGTCGTCTTTTAAGCACGTTAAAACACGAGCAGCCGATGTTTATCTGATATACAAACTCTCGCCATTGTCCCCAGTTTTAATAATATATTCTAATGTGACTCGCTTGAACTAATTATAGTAGGTCAAATATAAAACAACGGTAAATCCGAAAATAATAAAAAAAAATTTATTTTCGGAGTTACCGTTGTTCTATATTAAAATACTCAGTGGTTCCCGTAACAGTATGTCTCATTTTGTTTCCTGGTTTGTTCCTAGCAACATCAAAGGATCTTTCTCGGTCGCCCTTCGGAGTATCATCGTGTAACATAAATTAATGTCAAAAATGAACATAAATGATTGCGCCTGCGATAAGCTAATAATATATACCGCTTTCAAAACTTCAAAATGGCCCCCGATGAAAATTGAAAACATTTACATGTAATTAAAAGGTTAGTATAAATTTACACAAATATTTCTGGCGTGCTCCCTTAGGCCGATCTATATGTCTAATGCGCATGTCCGTGCGTATGACCGCTGTCCGCCTATATCTGTAAACACAATGCACTTTCCATGTTTATGGCTTCCTCTGGAGTAACCACATCGACAGTGGAGACGTATTCATGTGGTGCAGTGCCTTTATCTTCATGTTCTTGGTGAATTTCATCTCCATCATGCCCATTGATGGTTATGTTGAATATCTCATTTTCTTCTGGCAGTTCTGGGTATGTCTGATCCAAACTTAGATAAAAGACTTTGTATTATTAATAAATTTACACTACTGTCACTAGTGACAAATGGTGGACAAAAATGTTTAAAAGGGTGTATTATGTATTATGCATGCATTTTGGTAGTTTTGTGGACATGTGAGCTAAGATTGTTATTCTAAAGAGCTAGTGATAACGTTTCAGCAGCTTGAGTGTCGTAACTGTTCACCATTTTCATTAAAATATTTTTTGCTTTTGAATTGTTTTGTTCTGCACATGCTATGTACATAGGAAAAGGTTTTAAAGCAGCAGTTTTAAGCAACCACTTTACAAAATGCAGAGTTCCGAACTTTTTGTCAGTCTATTGTAGAATGGTATTAAATTTTACTGAGGGACGTTGTTGGTGGAAATGATATATTAAAAGGAACAAATGCAGAAAATGAAATTACAGGTCCTGTGGTTGCATTTTTCGCAGTTGTTCCTGGTTAATAGGTCTAGTAGATGTATATAATTTTTTAATATATCATTTCCATCAACAAAACCTGTCAACCATTCATTTGCATTATGCCAACCAAATATTAAATCAGACTTACTCTTGCTTTACATGAACAGAAGATAAACCATGAGCAGTTAGGGTCTCACTGTCAATGTCACCTTCACTGGCTGTCAGTGTTTCATCATGAGTATGCCTATGAAGACATTATCGCGATTACAACAACGAATATATACCACAGAGAAGTGCACCATTTAAAAATATCATTTTATAAATCATACAAACCTTGGCGGGGAGCCAAGCGGGGAGCTATCGGGTATCAGGCGTCTTCGACTTGATACAGCTGACATATTCGAAGGAACAGATAAAACTATGCAAAATATAAAATTAATAAATTAACAACGTCAACCAAAATCTAGTGAATAATGTTTTCTGTATATGTCCATGAATAAGTATGTTATAAACTCACATGGCGAAGGATTATTGCCGAGATTCTGAGGGGTACTTGTAGCAATGAGGCCCATGTCAAACCCAAACAATGACTCCATTGTTTCATCTGGATCGTTTGTCTGGGTTTCCACAGCGCTAGAAATGCAGCATAAAGTTTTTTAATCAGAAAATGCAACAACATGGCCATACTAAAAATGTCCAGAGTTACATGCTTACCGCATTTGAATCGATGAATGATGTCCTGATACCTCGTACAAGTTTAGCAGAATATCCCGCAAACTCCTGATCACTCGTGATATCATTTTCCTCTTTCAGCCGTTTGCACCGCTCAATAGAGGTATTCAAACACACTTTGGATGCATTTCTTTTTGCGAAATATGCTTTTCGATCAGCTGGTTTGTTTTGGCGATCAGCGTTTGAAAAATTCTCTGTTAAAGTAGATGGCTCTAACTCTTGCGAGTCGGCCATTTTCAACTAGTGTCTCACATGAACGCGCGTATCCGAATAAGGACTGGGGAGCACACACAATCAAAACAAGTGTGCTCACATTTGTTTACATTTTTGACACATGCGCAGAAGGGACTGTAATCTAGCTTTAAGTATTCCTGTTTCTTTCAAACAGCGTTGAAGTAATTAAGAATAATCCGCGAATTCAAATAAAACACCTCAAATAACATCGAACGAATTAACTGTTGCCGTAGTCATGCACCGTGAAAATGATGCAAATCACGTACTAGTTTCAACAGCTACGGCATTGCACAACGCTTCAGACTATGTAATTTACATTCGCCTTTGTCTTTGAGGATTAATGCTATTGTTGATGACCATATTGCCGTTGCCCTTGTATTTGCCAAACTCTCTAATATAGGCGGTAAGTATGTGCTCTTGACTATGACCAATTATTCAAATGCACGCCTTTCTAGGCGGAAGTATTTACACCATTTATATATTGACAGAGCTTGGAAAATGCAGCTAAAGTTTTGGCAGAATACGCTTGTCTTTGTGGTCTCATTGTGGATATCTTGTTGCAGAACTGAAGAAGGTACTATAAATATTTATATTGTCCAAAAAAATTGTAGTAATTAAAAGTATTAAATGGCAAATATATCGACAAATCATATATTTATACCCATTTATATGTATGTGCAATTTTAGTTTATCAGTGACCACTATATAGTTTAAGTTATCATTCACTTAGCTCAAGGCCTTTAGGACTAAACTAGTCAAACATTTTTAACTTAAGGCCTTTTAAGGCCAAACTAGTCCAACACGTTCGTTCAACATCATCCTGCATTGTTGGCTGCAACATATAGAGAGTTCTAGATTGACGTTTACGGCAAACGACAAACCACTAACGAAGTTTTTGATTTTACAACTCTATTATAACTGTATAACAGCTTTTACACTAGTTTTGCAATATATTAAACAAGTATTAAGCTTGTGGTATTTAACAATGATTCAAGAAAACAAATTAACTACTAGTCATGTCGTAACCACAGTCATGTATTCACGGGACGTTGTTTGAAGTTTACGACTGGCGTATAAATTTCATGCTTTAACGACTAAAAGCTCTCGTAACAGTTCAAGCATAAAATTTATACGCCAAACATCAACTTCAAACGCCAGCTCTTAATTTACAGCTTTGGTGAATACGTGACTAGTTGTTAATTTGCTTTCTTAAATCATTGCTAAAGAGCACAAGTTTAATAATTGTTTAATATATTTCAAAACTGGTGTAAAAGCTGTTATAATAGAGTTCTAAAACTAACAACTTCGTTAGCGGTTTGACGTTTGCCGTAAACGTCAATCTAAAACTCTCTATAATAACTTTGAATGATGTTGTCTCGCTCAACAGGTTTGACCTTATTCAAAATCTTATCCAACATAGTCCAACATAGTTTGTTTTGAGCGGGCCTTTATATTATGGTTCTGTAAACTATATTGTACAGTACATTTGCAATTGTACATCGTACGTCAAGGAAGTTGTGTGTCTGAATTCGAATAAATTCAAATCCTTTTTAATATAGCTATCTCCGCAGGCAACTCGGTGGAAAACAATGGCGAAATTTACGCGATATTTAGCAGATTGAGGGGTGGACAGGGAAGTGTAGAAGCAATGAAGATAAGAGTTTTTATTTCCTCCCTGAACAATTATCCCTCATGATCCCCTTTTAACCCGATCATCTCTCTATAAATATTGCGTAATTCTGCCTATGGCCACAGAGAAGCTACATACAGGGGTCTCTCATAAGGATTTTTTTTAGTCGGTCATGTTCTTAGCAAGTGCCCTAAACGGAGGCTGCAGTCACTCCCTCCGAAAACATTTTGAAATGGCCCGAGCTTGAACCTCAGTTATAGTCGGCCAGTAACAGTTACAAATGGCTTTATTAGCAAGTATTGCTGAAGCTTACTGTATAAATATTTACAACAAAGACGATGTTTTGTGATAGTATGACATACAGTCAGTATCGACGGTAATACAAGAAATAGAAATGAAGTTATTGACATAAAATAAGACTTAGTTTACAAAGGAGTACACTATTTAAAGTATATAATTAAATATTGTCAGCATTCCAAGCTTCAAGGCATTTAGATCTCTTCTCAAAACATAAAGAGATATTAAATTTCGATCATTCTATTACGGTTTCAGTTGATTCATTATCTCAACTGGTTAAGATAATGTTCGTTTAGATCCGTTTCATTGGTGGGATCACTTTCTGAGTTATTTCAAAAATTTTCTCAAAGACTACTGTAGGCTTCACAGGAAGTTAGGAAGTGGTGTTTCGTTTCAACTTCTCCTGACTGGCAGACCTTGCATACTCGGTCTTCTCGCAGAATATATTCGTATCTACCGAGTTCAATCATTAGTTTATGGTTACTTAGTCGGAGCTGTGTTAAACGTTTTCTTTGGTTTGAGTTAGTTATACAGGGTGTATAAAAAAAACTGAACAGATATGAATTTGCTCTCAATTTCGCAAAACAGCTATTAGTATCCAGTAGTTGATGTATATAGCTTCTATGGGTACTTATAATGTAGAATAATGAAAAAAATTTATCGAATTCAAATTTTGTGAACCAAGGGTGTGTGTTTTTTTCCAACATACTAAAAATGGCTTGCGCACAAAATCGAAAAGCTTTAATAATATTTATAAGTAATAGCATGGCTTGAGGGAGATTAGTGATTAAATGGCCCCGTAACCCGAGGCAGGTTTGCGGAATCCCCGAGGGCGAAGCCCGAGGGAATTCCGCAAACCTGCCGACTGTAAGGGGTCATTTAATCACTAATCTCCCGAAAAGCCATGCTATTAGTTTGTAATAGCATAGTTGCGCTCCCATTTAAAAATGGACAAACATGCCCTACTTGCAATCAGCGAATTTGAGCTAAAACATTTGCTTCTTTGCTTGTGCGATGTAAAAGCTTGTTGCACATGCGCACTTTTTACGCTTTAATCGGTTACGCATGCGCAATCCATCATTTAATGTACCACAACAAAAACGCTAAATATATTGTATAAAATCAGAGACTGCATGTGCGTAATTTAAATGATGCAACAACTCAGGGGTCGGCAATCTCGTTCCCCGAGCCTACGGTCCTCGTGAAGGAACGTGGGATAATCCGTTGCCGGAACCAGGAATCATGGCTAAGATTGAACTACGCATTCCATTTGAACGGTCAATCAGATTCCTCCCTGAAACGTATTATCCCAGAGCCTCGCGTTCCTTCCTGAGGATCGCAGGCTCGGTGGACGAGATTGAAGGATCGGATAATAGACTATTGACGAAGTCAGCACAAAGGCCCTGGGGACGAGGTCGTGTTGCTGTTCCTTGCACAATCTCGTTCCCCGAGCCTGCGATCCTCGGGAAGGTACGCGAGGCTCTGGGATAATCCGTTTCAGGGAGGAATCTGATTGGCCGTTGAAATGGAATGCGTAGTTCAGTCTTAGCCAGGATTCCTGGCTTCCGACAACGGATTATCCCAGAGCCTCGCGTTCCTTCCCGAGGATCGCAGGCCCGGGGAACGAGATTTGCCTGATGCGTAGTCGGCAGGGAGACGAAGGGTGTGACCCTTGCCAACGGGCGATTAGTTAACATGCACAACTCAACGAAAGCGTACGAATAGCCTCATTAACTGAACGACAAACGCGCTTAAACTCGCTTGCTTATTGGTCGAGACGAAAAATTATAAATTTTCGTCAGCCAAACGTATACGATCATCACATGACGTTCCAAAAAAAAAGTATTTATGCGTCGAATTAAACTCTTAAAACCAGGCTTGCTGGTTGGTCGAGACAGTGACATTATGAATTTTCGTCTAGTAAGTAAACCGATATATTCTAATCGTCAAGAAGTGATACTATATAATTTGAATGTCTGCCATGAAAAAAACAAAGAGTGCGTAAACACAATTGAATTGAATTTTTAATTACCAGTTATTAACAACAATAGGATAATTTATATACTGTATAGTATCACTTTTTGTTGGGACATCCACACATAACTAATTAACGTCAATTCGTCAACCGAAGACTATAGCCTCATAATAATTTGTTCACACAATTCTAAAGTACGTGGCGCATAATTAGCTAAGCCTGAGCAACTTGAAGTGTCCTATCACAATGCAATTATATTTACAGAAAGGAAAGTTAGCTCTATTTAGCTTTGGGTTATTAGATTGGGCGCATGTTTGTACCAGGAATAATAGTCTATATAACTCTCACTAACAGAGTCGCGTTTAAAATGCATGGTTAATTCATTCAGTAAAGCCCTAGGGAACGGAAAGTAAAAGGATAGTGAATCTATCTTCTATTTCCTCTCTCGTTTGCGAGTAAACTGTTGGGCTAACATCACGTACATCTGCAGCCGAAAGGATTCGACACTTTCCCGGGTTAAATTCCAAAACAGAAATTGCTCTATAGTCTATTTCTTTGGAAAAGTCGCGACCATTGCATGAACGCCGAAAGCACAAGATTGGGAAACAATACTCCTTCCATACGTGCCCTTGGAATGTTTGTTTGGGGGCATGCTGTTGTCAGGAATAATAATTTGCAGAAACTTTCAAAGTTTTCAAGTAATAACTCGCGGTTAACAGTGCATGGTTTATTTCGTTATTTAACCTGATATATCTTTTTAATGCCTCTACAGCACCGGCATATGCACGGTGAATAAAATGTTGCACAAAATTGCTAAACACTGCAGAGCGGTTGCAATCACATGTAAATCGTCTACCATGGCTACGGTTGAAATGATTTAAAAAACACGCATATATTTGCATAAATAGTCGAGTAAATACCAACATAAAATGTCGTGTTTTGTGATCAGTGTTTATGACTCGTTCTTTAGAAAGATATTTTCTATAGTTCATTGTCTTTTATTTTTATGATCAACCAATCACAAAGCCATGTTCATATAGGTTGGTGCATGCGACCCAGTACATTATTAACATAACTGAATATTCGTTCGCTAACGTCGAGTTGTGCATGTTAACTATTAGAACTAATCGCCCGGTCGATTAGAACTAATCGCCCGATACAGCGGGCGATTAGTTAGTATTCGACCCTGTTGAAACAAAAGAAACCCGGGCAACTATGCTATTATTTGAGTTAACAGGTGGAAACCTTGTTGAGCTTTTAATTACTGTACAAAATTTCGGCATATTGTAAACACTGGACTGGACTTTGGACTTTGGACTATGGACTTTCGATTTTGAAATTATATTATTTTTTAGATTTTCGTTTAATTATATTAAAATCTAAACAGAGAACGAACATTCGCTGCTGAAAAGCGTGCTACACTGCATGTACATGCATGATATAAATATACAAGGTAAAAAATACTCAGTATCAGTTATATAGGTATACCAGCAGTGCAATTTCATACGGATATAGCCTGTAGGATAGCAGGATTATCCAATATTTTGGGATTTAATATTTAAATTTTATATAATATTTGTATTTATAGTATATGCATAGTACAGTTTATACTGCAGAACTTCTTCTTTATCATATAGACAATACTCAATAGATTAATTGTCAGAAACAATTGTGACAAAAGTGTCTCGGCAAATACAAAATATTAACTATACAAGTGATTATTATTGCGCCTATTGAGTGTTGTATACATTCTATTGACTGTTCATCTTTGCATAATAGTTTATACTAGTACTGTATTGTGTAATTGTTTACTCCGTTAAACAGTAACGTTTTGTGAATGTTACTTTTTAAGACCTACTCAGTTGTGTGCGAGAAGGCAAAAATATATGTCTACGTGCTTCAGGTAGCAACTATTTGCCACGTTTGCTGTAATACTACCACTTGCAAGTGATGAACCAGGTGGGAATCGTAATCGTAGTATAAAGATTAATGCCCATGCAGCATAATGTACGCAAAAAAGCCATATATATATATATATAGACAATAATATAGACAATAATATAGACAGATTATCATAAAGTAATATGCAGTACTACCAATTAATAATCTATAATATAAGGCCACATAAAATAAATTCCTTCATTCTCATCACCGCCCGACTGTATTTTAAGAGCCGCGTAAAATTTTTTTATATTTTGTTATACAATATAAATGTACCGCCCGACAAAATATTTCAAGACAGTTAAGTTTTTTATATTTTATATTGGGTTTTTAGTGCCATTTTAAACTGCCAATTTCAAACAAATAGAACCTTGAAAGAAATTTCATTGCATTTTAACGGAACTTCGCATTCAGCACAAGGGCCAGTCATTGTTCGTGGAGAAATATGTTTATTTCAGTTTGTGACACTTTTATTTATTGATAT